AGTGTAGGCTCCTGGTGCTGATTCTGAAAGGAGGCAGAATTTGGTTTCATGGTCAAAGATGTAGGAGTGCCAGGCTGGTCAGGGGCTGCAGAAACATACGGCCTCATCCTCGGCTTGCACCCCAGTGATGGTTAAGGTGTTTGTGGAGCCAGAGGTGGAAGCAGAGAATCGCTCAGGGATGCCCGAGGGTCTCTTGTTGTTGTCATATATCAGAGCGACCAGGGAACCACCAGGTTTCTGCTGCCACCAGCCATAGTAGCTGCCACCACCAGAGCAGGAGATCGTGGCGGTGCCTCCCGGGGACACGTCCACCGAGGCCGGCTGAGTCACTGCTGCCTGGACCAGGGAACCTGCAGAGGGAGAGGAGAGAGGGCAGAAAGCGGCGGGTCAGCGAGTGCCGCAGCAGTGTGCAGCACAACACCCCTGTGCCATGAGCGAGCGCTGCAAGGAGGAGACGGCCCTAGTTCACAGTACAATCCCACCAGCTCCACAACCCCACCTCAACAGTACTGTGCCGCAGCCCCTTGACTCTCTTCAACCCCATCTGCTCTGGATACAGACCCTCCATGTAAATCTGGCCCACAGTTACTGCTAGCTCTAGACTACAGATGCTTGATCATGTACTGCACGTCAAATGTTTTGGGACACAGAGAGGTTTCTGCTGGATCCAGTCTGGATAGTTGCTGAGGGTGACCACAATATGGTCGGGTTGTAGGACCAGGCAATGGTTTCAAGAGGGGTCACCAACAGCAAAGGGCTCTGCAGAACCTGGGAAAACGCCTCACAAAGCCTTTCCCACACATTTATCGTCACTCAGTGACAGCACCCCAGGCACCATCCACCCCAGCCATGACTCCAGGCTGTGCTTGTGCCATGGCCAGCAGTGCCTCCCTGATACCACGGAAATGCTCAGCATCCTTTATGAATTAGGATCCCTTCAACCGTTGGGAGCCTTCACATGGTGGTGGAGCAAGAGGCAGTACTGGAGAAGGACACTTGAATGTCTGTTGCTGCAGGAAGGCACAGGGGCAATTTCTGGTTTCTTCTGGAACCAATTATAATTATTCATCCTGGAGCAGAGATTATGTGCATCCCACTTCCCCGTCTCTCTAGCACTATAACTGCTGCTGTCACAAACACCACAGTAATAGACGGCCTCGTCCTCGGCTTGCACCCCAGTGATGGTTAAGGTGGCCGTGGAGCCAGACTTGGAACCGGAGAATCGCTCAGGGATGCCCGAGGGTCTCTTGTTGTTCTGATAGATCACAGGGACCAGGGAACCACCAGGTTTCTGCTGGTACCAGCCATAGCTGCTGCTGCTACCAGAGCAGGAGATCTCGGCGGTGCCTCCCAGGGACACGTCCACTGAGGCCGGCTGAGTCAGCGCTGCCTGGACCAAGGAACCTGCAGAGGGAGAGGAGAGAGGGCAGAAAGCGGCGGGTCAGCGAGTGCCGCAGCAGCAAAGCCCCCCGCGCAGCGCGACGCCCCGGGGCCCCTGTGCCGGCCGCGCACAGCCAGGCTGGCCAGGGCACCTGAGC